TTACGTAATAAACTTTATTAATTTACGCATTATTCATCGTAATGATAAACACGCTTAATTAATTTTAAATATTTTCCACTAAGTAAAATTTATTCCCGACATTTTTTGACTCATTGATTGAGGCGCTTGAGAGCCTTGAGAGCGACCTGAAATTAGATTCTGAAATTAGATCATCTTGTATGCATTAGTTAGCAATTTTAGACAGACGTAACTTTAGTCAATGAAAGAGTCTGGTGTCAACTTTAATCATGACAATGGTTTAAAAAAATTTATTTTGAAAATTTAAACTGTTTATTTATGCAATGTTGTGCAATTAAGTAAAGTTATAATTTTATGTATATATAAATAAGTAGCTGTGCAATGGATGAATATAAGCATTATTTAAAAACATTGGAAAACTCTGATGCGAAATAATTATATGGAATTGTTATATATAGAGATTAGATTTGACTATAACTATTTTATCCTGCAAATATTGAATCGATGCAAACAAATGTATTATGTAATAAACACGCTTCATAATAGTGTAAAATTGAAAAATGACCGGACATATCGACGGCTATGTCATGTAGCTTGGGTTTTCAGCCAATGGATACATACATCTTGCCAAGTTTATATTTTTTATAATTGTTTGTTTATTATTTTATTCTATTTTTATAACAAAAATATCATTTAAATGTAGTGAAAAAAAGGTTTTTTCTAGTACGATAAATAAAACATAAAATTTGCTAAATAAACAGTGTTTATATATAAATAAATTACATATGGATAGTGTTTTCGCAAATGCATTTTCTAATGCCTTTCCTACTCCATATACGAATATTGAACTAATCCACACAAAAGGCTCCTAAGCTCATCTCTTTGCTTTTCAGTTATTTTTATAGATTCTATTTTAAATTGATATCCTGTTTTCATTCTAAAAACTATTATACATGTATAAATAATATATATTTCAATAATATTCATTGGATTACCAAATTCAAGTTTTTCGGCCAGGTTTTGTGTACTAATATCTTTTTCCTCATAAATTTGTTTTGTATCCTCTTCGAGTTGTGTGTCATAAGAACTCATGCTCGTATTAGTTTCTTCATTCGGGAGAATCTTAATGGTTACATAAACCAAAAAGGTTATAATTGAATAGGGAATGTAAACTACAAATAAAAAAGCTAAAATAAAATTGGAACAAGCTGGACAATTAAGTCGACTTTTAAATTCATTTATTGCTTTTCCCATTAATTTTATTATTCCGTATTTCTTCCTTCTACTGTCCTTATGTCCAAAAATTCTTACTTTATATTTTTTCATAGCTTCATCATTTCCAAAGAAACTTACTCTACTATAATCATCCAGAGTAAAATCTTTATCATCAATTAAATATAATCTTTTCGATAAAGCGTAATAATATGACAAAATTGCTGCAACTACTTCTATTGTAGGTTTTAAAAATATAAATTTTAAAGTATAAAAAATCATCATATGATTAGTATGATCAGGAAGTTCTATAGTATAATTCAACATTTGCTCAACTCTTCGATCAAAGAAGGATAATATTACATTATGTAACCATAAGCAACCAATAATGATAATACTTATAGCTAATAAAAAATCAATATGTATAAAATTATATGGGATAATAATATTACTATTAATCAAAATCGAGATAACAGAAGTAATAATAACATATAAAGATACTATAGCAATAATTACTACACTGCTCCTCTTTTCAATGGTAATAAGGTCTTTGATACGATCTAAATACCTTAAATAATCTTTGCACTTTCCAACTAGCTTATCATTTATGAGTTCATCAGGTATTTGTAACAACGCTGGCATAAATACTTTATCAGATGGAAGCGGAATCTTTTTAGCAACTCCAACCAATGAAGTAACATTATCCTTATTTTGTTTCCACTTTTGGCCAAGGATATTTAAAAGAGCCAAAGCTCCACTACTAGCAAGAACACTTGATGTTATAATATGAACCGTGTCGCTGATATTTTTTTTCCAAAACATATAAAGCAATGCTATTCCAAACAGAATAACAAATGATGACATTACGATATTTATTAAATTTAAATTATTTCTTCTTTTTAAAAGTGTTTCAACTTTTTCCCATTTTTCTTTCAGTAACATAATTGTGTACTTATCGACTTGTATATCCTCTTTACTCTTTGTTGTGAGGTTTGTTGGTTCTTTATTTTTTTGTGGGTTTGATTCTTGAATTTCTTGGTCTCTGTTCACGTCCATTTTGAAGATTATAATAACGAAAAATTGTTATAGCGAAAAATTGTTATGTTTAATCTGATACCTGATATTATACAATAATTAAAATTTTACATCATCTCTCTAATCGTTTTTATAAAAAATCTGTGCACGTACTGTACGTACGTACGTACGTAGGTATATGTACTAGTGCAGGTGAATTGTCCCAAATGATGAACTTGTCGTGACTATCTCTGTAATATGCACTGTAATATGTAATAATTATTATGATTTACGGCATTTTTTCCTTAACTTTATTATGTTACGTTAGTTACGGTAATTCGCCTGCACATCTAATATGTACGATGTACGTACGGTGCAAGAAATCTAAAAACCACCATAGAAACAGTGCCATTTAGTGTGTGAATACTTTATTGAGATCGATTAATTAAGAAACATTTGATTTCAATGTGTTACTTGATAATGCATCTGGCAGAAGATTTAAAAATACCATCCTTGGCAGAAGATTTAAAAATGCCATCTCTTTTAATGTAACATATAATCATGTAGCATATTTAAATCTAAATTATGAATTGTGCACGTAAATACTTAATTGAAGTCGATAATTTAAAAACATTTTTGATTACAATGTGGTTTTTTGGATTTCTTGCACAAGTACGTGTGCTTGACATTAGAAACTAATATTAATTGTCGTAGCTTATGCTGAAATTTGGACCTATTTTAATACAAAAATTTAAAAAAAAATTTTTTACCACTTTTTTTTATAGTTAGGTTTGAAATTTATAATTAATAATGTCGTGACTGAAGTTCTGCTAATTTCAGTCGGGTCCAACTTTAGTCAACTGAAGTTCCAACTTTAGTCGGATCCCAACTTTAGTCACGACAATAATATATGAGATATACTCATTTAAAGATCAAGTTTTAAAACTTCCCACTGCTTTGTTTTGCTGTGGGGTTCCCATATGTGGATTCTAGCAGGACCTATATTTTAAACTTAGGAACCCAAATTTTAGCATCAGCCAATTTCAGCATCTGCAGCGATATTATGATGAGTGCTAAAAGCATATAACAAAAAAAAAAAAATCCAATCACAGCGGCTAATTTCAAATCGGATACGTAAAACATACTATAACTGTCAAATTAAATAACGACAATTAAGGCTTTATTTAAATCTTGTTTTGCAGGTGCCTCATATTATTCGAATGCATGCTTATTACTATGCTTAACGTTTGATCCAATTCAGTAATTGGGCACTCCTATGAGTAGTGCAGTAGTATTGTGCATTTTGGTTCTCAAGCTTTTTTAGCCTTGTCCCCCTTCCGTCATGCATATGATTGACTTATGTAAGTCAATTGATCGGTAACTTTAAAGCACATATTAATATTGGGACAAAATGTTTCAATATTAAAATCAATTTCTAGCTTTGAAAGAACGCACATACGCACGTACGTACGTACTTAATGTGCAAAATAATCACGTGACATTTGTAAATAAGCTTTTGTGTAACGTTATAGTTTATAATCACATGGTTTACTTTAATTAAACTTTTAGATTGTTATATTAAGCTATACTACATTTGCGCGAATAGTATATAGTTAATTTGAGTCTAATAACATGTATATAAATAGAGATATTCTTTATAAATAGGAATAGCAGTTTTTAGGAATTCCTCGATTGGAATAGAGTAATAGGAAGTAGTATTTTAGAGGACTCTTTGTGTACCGGGTACACTTTTTAGGAAGATACTTGTATCGGTTATATTTTAGTACACTTTAGTGTCTTGTGCATAATAATAAATACAGTCAGACCCCCCTAAATGCTACCCCCTAAGTGCGCGTCCTATGAAACACCTCCCTAAATGCACGTCTTTTCTTGGGCCCAACTAATATTACATCTATAGATTTTTACCTCCCTAAATGCAATCAACAACAACGTTGTTGTTTCTAATACTAAAGTGCGATTGTTCGTCACGCAATGTAAACCTGCGAAGCAGGTTCCCATATATGTAATGTAACCTAAAATTCTATATGGGAACCTACTTCGTAGGTTACAATTTACATAATCGTTATTTTGATTTATTTATTTATTGTTATTTTGAAGTATATGACATATCGCACATTTTATACATGTAAATATAGTTAAATTTAAAGTGCGATATGTCATATAATTTTAATTAATGGTAAATAAATAAAGTTAAATTTAAAGTGCGATACGTCATATACTTATAAATAACAG